CCCCAAAACCCCAAAACCCCAAAACCCCAAAACCCCGAGATTGCTTATCAGCATTGAGCACACTAAAAATAGATGGCTGTTATTCTGACTTCTTGCTCTTGATGTAGTAAATTGCTCCAAATGCAGCTAAGCCAATACCAATCAGCCCAAGGGTTAATTTAGTCTTTGAAAACTGTCTGTCTCCAATTAGAAGCTTTCTCTCCGCTTCAAGTCTTTTCCTTTTCTTATTGATTGCATCTTCTCCTTGCCTGATCATATAATATTTGGGCGAATACTTTGAGGTTATTTTCTGTTCAATCTCCTTTGCTTTCTTGATTAGGTTATCAGCATCTTCAAATTCGCACAAGCGGCTCTTGATGAATGCCATATCAGTCAGGACCCCTGAACTTTCAGAGTTTACTTCGGACCCGAACTGGGCTTTGTAAATGTCGTAACAATCAAGGGCTTTTTGATAAGCCTCTTGATATTGTGCCGTCAGCATTTTGCCCTGACTCAGAAGTTTGATGGCATGAGCATGCTCCATTGAATTCTGGCCATAAACATTCTTGGTGACTTGCTCATAATTCTGAGAAAACTCTACAAATTCCGGTGAATCAGTCCTGTTCAATCAGAGAGTGAGCTTATTTGTGAGAGCTTTCTGGAAAGACTTAGTGTTCTCTCCTGCGTTCTTCGCATAATTTATAAAATCATTACACACTTTATTAGCAAGGGCTACATCTCCTTTCCTGTAAAGAATCCCAGATATTTTGGTGTAGATAATATCATTAGCTTCAGTGGGAACTTTTTGTGTGGCAAGGTATTTCTGTGCAGCCTCAACGTATTTTTCTGGGTCTCAAAGCTTTTCAGCCATAGTTAACTGTATGGAATAGATAACCTCGAGCTTCTTCTCCGTCACTGGATTCCTATTCTGTTCGTACAACTTAGCGAGTGAGTCGAAGTTAGCCATTGCTTCAGCCTTGTTTGAGTCTTTATCCATTTGCCATGCAAGAAAGTTATCTGTGAAGTCCAGGTCAATTCTGAATTGGTGAAGCTTGCCAATACCAAGATCTTCACAATACTCAAGAGCAGTCTCCACGTATGACTTCAAGCCGAAGTCATTGATTATTGAGAAAGATCCCATGAACGCAATATATGTCAACTTGTCTTGTTTGATGGTGTCAGCATACTTCTTGACAACTTTGTAGTCGATTAGGGCTCCTATAATCTCTTCAAAAGCAACAGCAATTCCAAAAGATTCCATCTTTCAATAGTTTGTTTCATATGTAGCCTCAACGATTAATTTTTCCAGATCTCTGTTAAAGCGGAAGATTATATCTTGATCTAAAGAATGAGGGTCGAGCATAAATATTGAACACAAAATCTTTGAATTTGTTCAATCTGCCTTTATAAATTACAAAACAGATTGTATTGATGAATCTTAGTAGAAATATTAAGTCTAATTTTAACCTCATTTTGGATTTAGAATAGGTCAGAATATATTAGCTGAAAGAATCAGCATTATTGTGAGCAAGTAAGGCCACCAGGAAACTCTTAGGCAAAGCTATCGTTTATGGAGCATATATCATAAAAAATTACCTGAAGAATACTCTAAATTATCTGAGCCAACAGCTCCAAATATTCACATGCAGCATGTTATCTGGTTGTACAATGTAGAGCACTTGTTTAATCTATGATGCTTCATTAAGTCCTCAAGATTATTTATGAGTTTAGAGAGTGCTCCTTTGTCTTTTGCTTCCAAAATATCAGGAATCTTAGCTATATTTATTCCAATCTGACATTCAGCTAAATCTGGCTCTGGATGAGTCTGAAGTTCTTTTTCAGCCAAAGAAATAATTAGATTTATTCTGTCTTTTAATTTCTTATCAAAATTTCCTTTATTGTCAGAAGTGGGGTTTGAAAGAGCTCTTATGTAGGCAAATGACTTCGTAGACTTACAAATTGCTAATAGTTCATCTCATAATAATAGCCACTTATCAAAATCCCTTGATATGTAAAATTTAGCCCTTAGATATTTTTCTAACCAATTTAAGTGTGTGCTAGCTTCTTTTCAAAATGTTCGAGCGGAAATATCTTCAGATATAATTGCAATGTATTCTTCAGGAGTCTCCGCTGTCAAAGTCATGTAATTTATCGCTACACTCAGGTAAGCTGAGTAGTATTTAAAAGCAACAAAGTCATCAGTAGGGTTGTCATCTAAAAGATCTTTGAAAATCTCCATGATAACCTGGCATCTTGTGTATCCTCCATTGTACATGAAAATATCGAGGAACAAATTCAAGAAATCAGCCTTGTACTTGAGTGGGATAACTTCTTCCTCATTCTCTGGTTCTGGACTAACTAGATTCTGATATAGATCTTCAAACACCTTTAGGTTCTCTTCTCAAGACTTGATGTTATAGATTGTGAGTCTCATCCTCATCCACTCAAGCCTCGCCAAGTGTTGGTCTTGCTTACTCTCCTGTATGTCTATTGCAGACTTTGCTTCTTCAAGGATTTGGTCGAGTTCAGCGACAGAAAGTCTCTGAATTTTCTCTTTGAATAATATAGAGTCATTTGGATCTAGCTCCATTATTGGATGGTATATTTAATATTATATTCAGTCATGGATATTTACCTCGGGGTTTTGGGGTTTTGGGGTTTTGGGG